AACACCACATTGTGCTTGGCTTTATATGAGTTGCACAAGCCTGATATTTTCTTGCCCTTCCAGTGTCCTAGCAAGCAGAAAGGAAATTGGTGGTGGGAACAGCATGGAGCAGAAGGCACAAGGGACCACAGGTGCTAATCCAAGCTGTGATACTGGGTGACTGGAACCTGGTCGAGTCACTTTGCTTCGTGGTTCCCTATCAGTAAAGAATAGGAGGTTAATACTTGTAATGCTTCTGTCATGTGAAGTGTAAGGATTAGAAGAGCTAGCATGTGTTCAGAGCATCCAAGATGTGAGAGCTAAGTGGTCTTACAGAGTCCTTCATACTAACATAGCTCCTGTCTGTATTATCACAGCAGGTTGTGTGCATGCTACCAGCCAGGCTGGGTCTTTCCTTTCCTTGAACCTCCTTGCAATGGCTACTACAGAGCAGGGTTTCCTATGTTTTTATAGTGAGAAGACTGATGTTGTCAATATTACATAAACAGGAATTTTTAAAAAAAGCTTCATTCACCAGTAAGTTGCTTTTCATCTCCAAATGTAATAGGAGACTAATTCTGGTTACTTTTCTGGGATTTTTAGAATTCGCTGGCTTGCTTAGAGGAAATGGGAAAAGTAGTACTGTCGTGAGATGAGAACCTGTCATATCTGGGAAAGATAAAAGGGAAGTGGAAACTCGAGAAAATACTTATTAGTGTTTTTCTCCCCTACAGGCTATCTGTTATTTACCTTCTACTAGATCCTCCAAGAGTTGGCATTGGCATACTTCCAATCCTATGGCACTTTGCTAAAGTAAAGGGTTTTAGATGCTGATGTGGACTCAGGAGACCTGGATTATCTTCTGTGCCACAGATTCAGGAAAGATGTAGTGTCTGTATGCCTTATTTTCCAGCCTCTGGAATAATTATCTTTATTTCCTTTGCTTTTTCTGTTTGGCTTTTTAAGTGTATTCTCTTCTTTTATGGAGTCACTCAGACACACTCACACACAGATAGAGGGATAGATACAGACACACGGCATTTCGTGGGGGTTGTGTAAGCTGTACAGTGATAGTTAGAACCAGTGCAACGCTTGGAAATGTTTAAACCCCTCTTGTTGGCCTGTTTGGAAGTAACATGTGTACTACTACTGTGCCATGTAATGCACCAGCAGAACATTGGCTTGCACAGAGATGGAGGCAGGTGCTGAGTTATGCCCTTCTTTAATCGAAAATCTCCTCGTTGGGGGCTATCCTAAAAAAAACCCCGCATTGTACTGGAGGCAATAGGGTTGGCGGGTGACCAGCTGCAAATCCAAACTTAGAAACCCTAGCTGCAACGTAACAGCTTAGTACTTGTGGAACAATCCCTGCAGCATTTATTTCTTGCACTTGACCACTGGGGAATGTGTTTGTCATCCTTCTCACTCCTGTCACGTTGGGGGCTTTGTCAGATCAGAATACATCATCGCTGTGCTTCTCTGTGTCCCTTGACTTGTCATAGGCACAAATCTTTTTCAAATGTTCTTTTCAAATGTTTTTCAAATGTTCTCCCCTGTTCATTTCCATTATTATATCTGGTGCTTCTAGGTGGCAAGCAAAAATGAATAACCTTGTAAATGCTCCCTGTCTTTCAATTTGTTTTATTTTTCATACAACGTGTCAGTGCATTTTTGTTGAGTGGTTTTAATAAGATGAAGTTGATGAAAATAAATTGCTTTGCAGTTCCTGCTGTGGGTGACAGAAATGCTGGATCTGTAATTTTCCAAAACTCTGCATTTGAAACCAGTGCAGAGAGTGTTCTGTGTGCCTGTAACTGCAATCATCTTCGTAAAATACCTCCCAGAAAAAGAAAACAGCTATCAATTTGAATTTTGGGGGCAAGATGCACTGCTGTATCCAGCTTCTGCTGGGCACAGTGAGAGAGGGAGCTGTCAAGGAGAATTTTAGGATTGATTCTATGCCAGGCTTGGGTCTGCCATATGGAATAGTTTGCCAGATCTGTCTCTAGTATGGGAGGAAGAATGAAATATGCAGCAAACCTTCTTACCAGAGTGTCTGTTAGCCAGGGCTTGGAAAGTGAAGATTGGGACTTGAAAATGTGGACATCCCAGTGCTGGTGGTTACTGTGTATCAGTTTTCTTCTAAGCAGTTCAGTATTGTCCTGGTTGGAGGTAAAACAGAAGCAATTTTCTCTTCAGTTATTTTACTTTTCAGCTAAGCCTCTTCTAAGTGAATTTCTGAAATTAATGGCGTATTTTATCAACACTGTCTGCTTCCAGAGTGATAAGACCCGATTGTTTCTAATTTATGCCAAGGAATGGTGTGCAGAGAGGCTCTTGCTTATACTTAATGCTGTAATAACCAAGGTCAAGTAACTGTTATTTGCCCCATTGGAGGGTCGGAAGCAGAAAAGACTGGAGGGGTCGCACCTGCAGAGAGGAGCAGACAGGACCCTAAACTGGCCAACGGGGTGTCCCATCCCATCTGCATCATGCTCAGTATAAAAGCTGAGGGATCAAAGGGTCAGCTCTCTTTCCTCAATGACCAGTGTCCAAGGAGGACTCTGTGTGTTCCCAGTCTCTGCCTTTGATCCCAATCTGTGTATTCCAGAATCCAGATCTGGAATCCAGTTACCGTCCCATTGCTGAGTCCAGGCTGGGACATGATTATCGCCCTGGGAGGTTGATACAGTTTTGTATATATTTTATTTTATCTTTTTTTAATTATTTTATTAATATTTTCATTAAAGTAGTTTTAGTTTCTTTTTTATACTCAGAAGTCTCTTTTCTCTCTTATCCTTCTCTCCCTGAAGAGAGAGAGAAGTAAAAGAGAGCATCTGTCGTTATTTCAGTGGCCAGTCTGGCCCAAACCATGACAAATATCTTGCTCAAAAAATGGAATGAAGATATAAGGTCATCTCCATATTACCAAGGTGTACTCAGTAGACAGTCTGGTAACTGTTCATCTCTTCTTGGAAAGAAGATAACCCACATATTCCAAATGTAATTGTCAAGTCAATAGTTTTCTCTTTTTCACTCGTTTTAATGAAATAAATGTCAGTATTACCATATTTCTGGTAACTTTCTATTTTGATAAAAATTGCAGAAAATATCATTCTAATTCCCTGAAGTTTAGAATTTCATTTTGTTGGCCCTTTTTTTGTGCTTTTGTACTACTTACTTAGCTGACAAGACAATATTAGTGTCCGTCTCTTACTGCATTCTCTACTGCATTTCTGTAAGGCACAGAAATGCTTTCTCCTTGTGCTGGCTGGGAGCTGGCACAGCTGGAAGTCCCACAGGAGCTGATGGTGGACCAGGATCTCAGGTCCCACTTCTGCAACTTCAAGGCCATTATCATTAAGACAGGCTTACTTTCCTCAGAACAGCTTTTTACTCTTTCAACTGTTCCATTGGTTTTGGAAGCATTGAAAACAGGAATAATTAAGTCCCCAAATTTATAATAATCTTCCCCTCTTTCCATTTCAAATTTGGAAATTTCCTCCAAGATTATGCTGCTTGAGGTACATAAAAGAAGTGTTGAGATGGGGATCATCCTGCTCACACAGTTCAGGCTGGTCCACTGGGCTGTTGGGAGGAGGGGTCAGAGAAGTACACTCAAAATTCGGACAAATATCTAATTCTTCTTTGCAAGTTTTCTGGTGATGTCTCTCAAACAAACTGCCCAAGGTTTGAATGCCCTGTGTAACCCTTGCATTGGTGCTATACACAAACCACCTTTCAGATTACATGCCTTGCTATGCAGCCCTGACACTCACTGCAAAGGTGTCAGGCAGCCAGGGAGGAGCGCAGGTTTCTGCCTCTCTTACAGGGTTTAAACCAGCTAACAGAGCCAAAGAGCAAAGGTGATTTTTCAGTAGAAATAATAATAATTTGTTGTTTATACTTGTCATTTCAGATTCTGAATAAATAATCTTACTGCATAATTTCTTCATTCTGTATTAGAATAGTATCATCTGGACAAACAAGCAAGGAGACAGTAGAGCACAGAATCACAACAGAGATGAAAAAAAGTCCATGGAGGTTTCAAGCAATCCTCTTGCCAGTATGAGACTATTGCTTAGTCCATATTATATCTGGTTTATTTTGAAATGGTTCAGTTGATGGTGTTCCTGCCACTTCCCTGGAGAAACTCTTTCATTCCAACTGTTAGACAACATTTTCAGAGATTTATACTAAGTTTTCCTCTGCTTGGCTGCCTTTCATTACCCCCACTTACAACAACAAGACGGTTCACCATGGCAAGTCCTTTCCTTTGAGAAGATTTCACTCTTCTCTCTGTGACTGCCAGGGCTGCTATGTGAGGTCTGGAGTTTCCTCTCTTGCTCCTAGGTCCTCATTGTGCCACATTTATTCACTCAGTGTCACATTTTTCACATTTGAATCGCAAGGGAGGGCAGCTACTCCAGCAAATCACTGCTGTTCGGCAGCAAAAGCTGAAGCCCTTACGTACGCTGCACACATGTAGTTATTTTTATCTTTCTTCATAATTTAAACTATTCACCTTTTTTTCCCTTCTTTTAATTCCCTCTAGTTTGTTGACATCTGCCTGGTTCTCAGGTGTCCAAGACAGAACAGTATGTGAGTGCAGCTTTGCCACAGCTGTTTCATAAAGGAACTGTCAGCTTGGTTAGGTGACCTGAGGCTTCTTAGTACGCAGTCTCACTCCACAGTACCTTTAAGAGCTGCTGTGAAAGCTTATACCTAATTATTCTCTTTTTCCCCTCCTGGTCTTTTGAGTAATTTTTTGCTTCCAGATTATCTCTCATTATTATATTGAACACTGAATTCAACAGTGGTATGTCTGAAGTTTGCAGAACCCCTGTTAAAAATATTGAGCACTCGGGATTTTAAAATTCTGATTCTCTTCCACTGTTCTTTTCAGAAATGCTCTCCTTAACCACATGTAAATAGAGGTGTTTGTATATAACTCTGTGTCTGTGTGTGAGGAGGTTGGTATGATAATGTGCTTACAAAATTCTGGCTTTGTTGTTTTCTAGGTATTTGGTGCTAGAACACGTGTCAGGTGGGGAGCTCTTCGACTATCTCGTAAAAAAGGGAAGATTGACACCAAAAGAAGCCAGGAAGTTCTTCCGACAAATCATCTCTGCTTTAGACTTCTGCCATAGTCATTCAATATGGTGAGTGCTGCCATTTCCAACGGGAGTTACCTGTTACATAAAAGTACAGAATAAAAGGATCTCATTTCTTGATACTTTTACTTACTACTAAGTAACTGATGTTGTAAAGCTCTGAAAGCATTGTGTAAAGTGCTGATGTATTTTTTAATTCTTGGCTGTCTGTGAGACAGTGCACCAGTCACAGATAGACTTTTCATGGAAAAGATTGTCATTTCTCACTGGAGGAGAATTTATTCAACGGGAATGCTTTAACCAGGAAAACCAAAACCACCAAGGAAAAGCAGTTTAATTTCCATCATTCTTGGAGCACTTGGTAATAATGGAGAGTTACATACACTATATCAAAATGAGTCCCTGAAGAAACTTGGGACAATGACAAATACAGCAAAGTCATTTTATGACTTCTCCCAGTTTTTGGAAATCTGCTGGATTTTGGCACCCTTCACTGAGTCCCTTCTGGGCATTTGAGTCACTGTTGCCTTTAATTTCCTTTCCAGCAGGGAAGAATTTCCTTGATCTGATTACTATTGGTACTCACTAACTCCATCATATGATTTAACCATCAAGTGTGGGTTAACCTGTGCTTTCAGGTAGTTTTAAATTGGACCAAGCAAGTTTATGCTATTTAAATTATACTGAAATCAAGTTGTTATGATCAGGTCTTTGCAGTTAGGTTGGTGGGGGGAGACCATTTACATTATGTCTGTGTGGCTGCTTCTCCATAGCCACAGACAGCTGTAGATCCCCCCCTCCAGGAGGCCGAGGGCCACTGATAGATACTGCAGTAGTTGCATTTGCACAGGCACTGTGTGGTTACCTCTCAGTAACAGTACAGTGATTTTCCTTACCTCCAGTTTTGAGCTAGGAACATAACAAACCAGACATCCACAGCATAAATGGCCACAGAAAAAATGGACGCTTAAATACTTAACTTGCTCTTCTAGCCCCCTCCCTCTACATCTTTGACTCACTTCAGCAGGAAATATTAGTCTGAAAGAGAGCACATTTCTAATAAATGGAAAGGGAAATCAGAGCCTTTCTTGAGGATATATTAAGAGGAATAAACTGTTAGCAGAAAAGGCAGTTCAAAGTGGTGGATCAGGGTGAGAAGGTTCTTGAGGACAACGCCTACCTGGCACTGGTAGGGTTACAACATTCAGAGAAATTCCCAGAGTAGCTAAGAGCAGGTTGTGGGCCCTAACTGAAGGATCTAAGTTTCTTTTGTTGGCCGAGACCTGTGACAATTTTTATTCTGTGAATGCCACAATTTTTCTTCCCTGCTAATCATCTGGGTTGCGTGACCATGACCTTCTTACAATCAGCATAATTGTTGGTAGGTTGTACAGCTGTTATTTTTTATGTACACTGGGCAGTGAACCACTGGTGGATTGTGTACATACATGTTTCTGTTCCCTTCTTGGCTTAACACTTAGAGACCCAGTTCAAGAAGAGTCAAAAATGTTTAAGTACAACTGAAGAGAAATTATTTACTCTTCCAAATGAATATTCCAGAGAAACATGAATCTCCATTGGGATAGAAGTTTCTGTGAAAGTATGCATATATATGCATACATGCTAGTCCTTTGGGTTTGTGATGGCTACCTCTTGATATGGCAGACTTCAGTAAACTGAGTGAGGATCATGGTGATGCTCTCAGCAGACAAGCACCTCTGAAGATTTAACGGTATGTAGAATTTTCAAGGCAGTGTGCATGTCTCTCTTGAGGAATCCATTTTCCTCTGTTAAACATATTGGATTGTGGGCAGTAGTCTTGTTTAGAAGTAAATCCTCTGTCTCCTTGCCAACTCCCACTCGACTAGCAGCTACTGCTGAATAAGTTAGCAGTAAATCATAAGCTCTCCCTCCCTCCAGGTCACTCTGAGACTTGTGTGGTCTGTGTTATATTAGACTCTGTGTTGTATTCTGGACAGTTACCATTAAACCCTTTTTGAAAATCAGAGCATGCATAAATATATGTGTGTGTGTGTGTGTGAGTATAAAAGTTAATGTGCTTTCCTAAGCAATGAAGCCTGACCTTGTCCTGTCGTGGGGCAGTGAAATGACAAATCATCTCATCAGCCAGGTTATCCAGTTATGACCACTTTGAAAAATGAAGGCTTCTGCTTTGCTTAATGACTAAACGTAGGTGCCTCTAACCTACTGGCAGAATAGATTGATAGCCTGGTGTCCCCAGCCCCGTATCATTGTCCCATCTTCTTCCTGTACCTCCCAAAACACTGTGAAATATCCGTGGCTTACTTTCACAGCAGTAGGCAACCACATTCAGCTTTCACTGCTCAAAATGTATTGATACACTAGTATTCCTGGGTCAAAGAATCAGAACGTATTCCCCAATTGTCTCGTCAGTGAAAGGCTTCTGCTGCTACTGTGTGGAGACATCACCTGTGTCTGAGAGGTGTTTTCAAACAAGCAGCTCAAAGAAAGAAGCAGAATAGGCTTGGAGCTTGAGTCTGGTGGTGTGTTGTTTTAAGAAAGTATGAGCTTTCTGTTCTTATTTTATTTAATGGAAACAGTGTGGGAAGATGTGATGTACCTCACTCCAAGCTGCAGTCACTGAAGGGGCTTTGTGGTACAGGCTGGCCGTGGGGGAAAGGTTACAGATAGCCCACTGTAGGTTTCTCTAAGGACTTTCCTGTGCATGTAGCGCTGTGCCGTGCTAGGGACCCACGGGCAGGCGTGGGTGCGAACAGCCAGCGCCGTGCAGAGGTATTAGGTGGGCTCCTGCGTTCCGTTGCTGCTGTGCCCGGAGCGGAGCCGTTAGCTCAGTGATGCAGCCTCACTGCTGCTGCTCCCAGCTCTGCCCCTCCGAGGGCTCTGCACCGTGCTGCAGTGCTCAGCAGCCATGATGCAACAAACGGCAGAGCAACCTGGGCTTCCTTGGACGCCGGTGTAAGGCCGTCCTGGCCTAAGAGCTTTTCTTGGGGCATGACGGGTGTTTTTTTCTTTCACCTAATGCTGGGTGTCTGCTCTCCTGAATGCAGGGCCTTTAAGCTGTCTCAGCTGGGTGCCCCTAATCAATAATCCCTTTTGCACCTCCTGCCTCCGCACTGCTCTCAGCTGCTCCCGTGCCGGCTGTATTTTCTGTCGGAAACAAGGCGGGGGGTAGGCCGCAAACCCTCGCTGTGCCCCGGCGGAGTCTCCGTTCCGTGGGGCGCGGGGATGCGGCAGCGGCGGGCGGG